CCCCATCTTCAACCCCAAGTCCCTCAAGATTCTCCACGTCCCCAAAGCCCCCAGGGCTCCCCAGTGTCCCCAGTCCCCCCCAAGTCCCGCCAGTGCCCCCAGCCTGCTCCTTTGCCCAGTCTCGCCCCGTGGCTCACCCAGGTCGATGGAGACCTCGGGGTGCAGGACCCCAGCCCCCCCCGGGAGGGGCAGAGCCCGACAGGGGTGGGCACAGGGGGACAGGTACAGGACCTTGCCGGGACCCCCGTCACAGCACCTGGGGGGGCTGTCGAGCTGGTCAGAGGGGGGGTCCTCAGAGACCCCGCTGTCGCTGGCGGCCGGGGGCCAGCCGGGCGAGTCTGACGCTGAGTCCCCGGAGCCCAGGATGGAGCTGAGGAAGTCCTCGCCGTCCTGGGCACGCTGCAGGGACACGGGCACCCGTCACCATGGGGTGCCCGTCACCCTGGGGGGGCCCCCCAGGAGCTGCCGGCGCTGCGAGGTGGTCCCAGCTCCCGGGCAAGGCGTGGGGATGGGGCTCTCCTGCCAGACCCAGGGATGAGGTGGGGATGGCCCCCCCCAGCCCAGGGCACTCACCCCGTCCTCGTGCCAGGCGCCCGGCAGCATCCCCAGCTCCACACCGCGGAGGATCCCGTCCTGGCGGTCGAAGAGGAGGTCCAGCAGGTCGAGGCTGTCGAGGCTGCCCACGCCAGAGGCCATGGCTGCAAGGTGGCAGGGTCAGGTCCCTAACACGGTCCCTGTGATTCCCCCCCCACCCCCAAGCTGCACGGCCCCAGGGACACCCCAAATCGTGGGGCGGGCACGGGGCTGCTGAGAGGGAGCACGCGTGTGCGGGACCACGGGGAGGTGTATCTACACACACGTGTGCACGTGCGTGACTGCGCGTGCGGCCACGTGGATGTGTGCACGGCTGGATGGGCAGGTGGCCACGCTGGCACACGCGTGTGCAGAGCTGTGTGTCTGTGCAACCACGTGACCACGCAACGTGCACGTCCGTGCTCACGCAGACATGGGTGTGTGAACACGTGCACACGCATACGCCGGCACCTGTATGTGAGCACACGTGGGCACATCTGGCAAAGCCCTACGTGCACGCGTGCGGGCAGGAGAGCACAGGCGTGCAGGGGCTCAGGGGCACGGCAGTGCCCCCCCCCCCCCCCCCCCCCCCCCCCCCCGCACCCCCCCACAACCCCCTTTT